TATAAATATGTATATATTTATATTATACTATACATATATATACATATATTTATATATAAATCTATATATATATATATATAATATATACATACATACATACATATATATATATATATATATGTAAATATACTAACGTGCACGTAATGATCATTGATATATCTGTATTACCCTCCGCCTAGACAACATGGCAAACAAAAGCAAAAATAGCTCAATGCCGCTTGCAACCCATCAACCAATCAAAAACTCAGCAATCTCGATGACACCACATGCCCTCTCACGTACCACAGCAGCGACGGATATGTTTCTCCCGCCAAAAGTGGTGTTCCAGATAACGGTTCTCTCGCGTATGAAGGCGACGTACTCATCGTCCAGTGCCAAGAGTTCCTCAGCTGCTGTGTTTAATTCGGACGTAGTGTATTGGTCGCGTTCGGTGTCTTCGTCTCGTCGGTAGAGCTTGAACAGCCGGTTGGCCTGGTAGCTCTGCTCAAAGGCGGACATGTTCAGCTGCACACGCTGGATAGGCAATGGGAGGATAAGGATAAGGATAAGCAGAAGAGCTAGGCACATGCATATACTCATGGAAAATTACACACGTGTGTATTTGGATGTGTAAACAGGCGTGTTACAAACACATAAGTATGAATCATACATACAGATGTGGATATGTATGTGTGAGCCGACGTGTACAAACATGTACGTAAGTGCACAAAAAACACACACACACAAGTAAATTTAACGACATGTGAGTATGTGTGAGTATGTGTACGTGTAAACATGGGCCCACCAACAAATACGTAGACGTAAACCCATCGCACATATTCATGGACAACCGGAAACCTTCCATGTATACATATGAGTAGCGATAAGTGTATACAAACATGCGATTGGCCTCGGATTCATCCTACCATACACATACACTCCACTGTACATACCCCGGATCCAACTTTTTCAAAGGCACTTCCTTCCAGGATGCCGTACTCTGTCTCATTCTCATCCGCCACTTGCATGTTGAGAAGCTCCACGTTATAGCCCGAATTGATTCTGATATGTGGGATGTGGCCAGAGCGTACGGATGTTAACGGAAACACACCGCTGCTATGACTAAAAGCACACTTAGAACAACCGTAGAAACAGCCCTTCGGTACAGATGGTAACGTATTGAATCTGGAGACAGCGCAACCATCATACGATAAAACGGCCGTGAAACGCTTTCACAGAACGTGGTATATCGAGTCTTGGCCTTAGTTTCTTTGAAATAAATTCTGAACCCCCCGTCGATGTTATGGGAGAGCCCCGTCTACTGGAAGGTCATGTGACCTGCGAGACTTTCTTGTCTACTTGTTTTGCATTTGTTAATAGGAGCAATACAGCCCGGATTACGTAAAATTAGTTTGTTTTGTGGGACTGTCCACTTACACACGGTTGTACAATAAATAGCGGGATTTCAGAACAGGAGGCATGGATATGCAGACAACACAAGCACACCAGACCACCGGTAAAATGAGAATACATACGCTCTCCATGTATAGGAATATTAATAGGTCACAAACACAACAACACCAAAGGACACATTACAACATAGCCAATAGGACACAAATGAATATAATAAACGAGGTTAGCAGTGCTCTACGAACCCGCGTAATAAATGAAGTTCGGTACCTGACACCGTCTTTGTCGAACCACACGTGGCCCGTAGCTCCGGCAGGCACTTCAATGTCGTGCATGACAGACAGTAGTATCAGCTGTAGTAAGGGTAAATATAATGTGTCAATATGTTTATGTGTATGTGTATGTGAATGTGTATATGTATGTGCATGTGCATGTGCATGTGCATGTGTATGTGTATGTGTATGTGTATGTGTATGTGTATGTGTATGTGTATGTGTATGTGTATGTGTATGTGTATGTGTATGTGTATGTGTATGTGTATGTGTATGTGTATGTGTATGTGTATGTGTATGTGTATGTGTATGTGTATGTGTATGTGTATGTGTATGTGTATGTGTATGTGTATGTGTATGTGTATATGTAGATGCATGTGTATGCGCGTGTGTATGTGTATATATCCATACACCAGCTTACCTCCTAAACTATTGTATTTTACCGTTCTGGTCATATAGAAGAGACTAGTTTGAGTCACATTCCCATGGTTGCATTGGTAGTAAAGTGACAGAGAGAAGTCTTGTCTGGACGTATACACCTGGTGTGAGGTGGAAGCGATAGAGTGCAAGAACCCATCCGCTGCTTTACTGCATGCTTCACATGCATGGAATACAAAAGTGACATGTACATGCGCATTGTACTTCATCAGTTGGTTGTGTCGATTATAAAGAGTTCTCTCAAATATAACACCTTGGCGTGTAGATTAAATATCCCAATCCTACAGCCCTGTATCAAATAAGGGGCAGAGTTGACACAATACACTCCAACCAAAGCACCTTTGGGCAACTCAGGTGTTAAAGAAGGCAGGAGCTGTATGTTTCATAAACACCAACAAAACGTTTGTTGGAGAAGAAAATACAAAAGAATAGGTCAATGGTCAAGGGAAAGCGAATCTGAGACATGCAATGACACTAATCCGAAACGTGTAAATCGTAAACGGAAACCATGACGCAACGCAACGGTCAAAAACCAAATGGAGATTGTAGAGGTGCAAAAATTATAAATGTATGAACATACATACATAACTCACAAACTCACAT